AGGCTCAGTGGCTCACGCCTGTACTCCACACTTTGGGAGGCTGAGGAGGGTGGAGCAACTGAGGCCAGGTGTTTGAGACCAGGCTGGCCAACACAGTGAAACCCTGTCTCTACTAAAAATACAAAAATTAGCCAGATGTGGTGGCATGAACCTGTAATCTCAGCTACTCAGGAGGCTGAGGAAGGAGAATCGCTTGAAGCTGGGAGGCAGAGGGTACAGTGAGTCGAGATGCTGCCATTGCAGTCCAGCCTGAACAAGAGCAAAACTCTGTCTCAAAAAAAGAAAGAAAGAAAAAAGGAAATGTTTAAATAAATCATTCATATCTAAATATTATACAACCAACAAAAATAATGGAGATTTATATTTATCAATTTTAAGATGTCCACAATGTTACTGAATGGAAAAACAGGTGACAAAAATCTACGGCAAGGCCTCTCTTTTGAAAAATTATTTATCAATTTTTTTGTGTAGGTATGACTAGAGAGCTGTTACACACTGTTCAAAATATTAGTAGTGTTTATTGCTGGGTGGTGGCAATGTGGGTAATCTTTACACGTTTTCCTTTTCTGAATTTTTACCATAAACAAATATTTTATAATCAGAAAAAGTCAGGTTATTTATTATTTTAAAAGAAAACGCATTATTTCCTAAGCTAATGGGAGATTCTCAGTGTGGGAGAATCCTGTCTTCTTCCTTTAGAATCTGCATGTTTTCAAGGAAAATGTTACAGTTGCCCTGGAGCACCTCGACCCTGAGCACCCTCTCCTGCTGCTGCGGCTGCTGCTGCTGCTGTGGTCGTCCTGGGAGGACTGGCTTTGTGCCTGGTTTGCACTTTAGCGCTGCTTCAGTTCTCATGGCATCTGGGGGAGGTGGCTCTGTGCTGCAAATAATCCTTTGATTTGCCCAACTGTCCTTGGGTGCTACCCATCTCGTCCACATGCCTAGGACAGTAAATCTTTCCTAACGAGTGTCTCTCTCCCTTTCCCTCCCCCTCTCCCCATCTGTAATGTCTCCCACAGCAAAGCCTGCAAGTGCCAGTGTGTCTTCTGGGCTGGGCACATGTATGTCAGCTCATATGCACCAAAACCAGCCTGAGGACTCGCAGACTGGTCTGAAACTCGAGAGCTCTTTTTTATTTCATCATTCAATTGCTTTGCAAAAAGGTACCTTTTCTGGTTTAATTTCTTCTGTCACTAATTCTGAATCATGTGTAGCTGTCCAAAAGAAAGAAGGATCTGTTGTTGTTACTCCTTGTCAACGTAAATAAAGTTATGGTTTCAATTCAGTAAAGTGTTTTGAGCAGCTGAGGTCACCTCTAAGTTGGTAAAATAATTTTTCCATTTTTCAATCTGCGTTTCACACAAGGTTACTAAAGGAAAACTGCTAACAAGTTTGAAATGAGAACTGGAAGTTTAAACGTGTTTGTCTTGAGCCACAACATAAGGTACAGTTACCATGCTTTGGTCTCTGTATCTCATCACTTAAACAACACTCTTATTTTTGTACTTTCACTCACCTTGACCAGAGTAGAGGATCACATAAAGGGTGTATTTTCCAAATAAAGCTGTTTGGATCATCATAGTTTTAACAAAGACAATCCCTAACATCTGTAGAGTGCATTCTCTGCACTGCTGCCAGGGTTGTTTGACTAAGACATTAAGACAGGTTCTTAGCACGTTACTTGCTTGCTTAAAAACCTTTGATGAGCCTCCATTGCCTATGTGACAAAGCCCAAACTCCTTAGCTCAGCATTCAAGGGCCTTCCCCATTTAACCCCAACCTTGCCCCCCTCCACTCCCTACAGGGACAGCACAGAGGCCACTTCCTGCCTTTACACAGCTGGTTCCTGTGTCCGGGATGCACTTGGCCTCTACCTCAAGGCTTGATCTTTCTCTGGGAGATCTCCATGCTTCTCCCCCAGGCACTCAGTGCTCTTCTGAAAGAACTTACCGTGCAGATGCATTTTTTATCATTTTGTCTTCTCCGCTAGATTCTGCACCCTCTGAGGAATCAGTTTCCAAGTCTGGCAAGCATCTGCTCTCCTGGGCAGCATGATAAAAATACCATCCCCGAGACCCACCCCAGATCAACAGAACTAGAATCTCTGGGAGCAGAGCCCAGGAATCTGTGAATTTAAAGTAGTTTTCCAGGTGATTCTGACTGGCAAGCAGACCTTGTAACCACTGCTCAGATCAAGGATGCATTTTCCATGGGCCCAGCCAGGTGATAGCCAGAAGGGAGCAGAGAGAGAGAGAGAGGAGGCAGAGAGCTCAGGTGCACTGAGGGCCCACCTTGTGCCAGGTTCTGCTCTGGGAGCATTTATACCCACTCATTTGATTTCAACCACCGCAAGAAACAGATGATGGTATGCCTATGATGACAGATGAGGAAACCAAAGCTCATGGAGTTCGTATGAGGTCCCCACTGGTACGTAGTGGAGATGTTAACAAAACCAGCTCTGCTATCTCTTTGGACTCACATTCTTCTTCCTTATCCTATGTTAAATAAATGCTAGGTAAAATAAATGAATATCTGTGTTTGTAGATGCTCCATGCCTTATGCCCCTGCAGATCTAACCAGCAAGATCTATCAATTCTGTTTGCTCATGTCCATTCTCTGTCATGGAGACCTGGGAACAACCTCCTAATCTGTCTCCCACCGTGTCCTGCCATCTCCCCTCAAATCTGTCTTCTCAGCTGCAGGGGAATGATCATTTAAACTTGCAAATCTGCCGAAGCTACTCTACTTGTGGTACATTTTATGACATAGAAGCTTTTCAACTTTATATAAATAAATATGTCTATTTCTGCCTTGATAACTTCAAGGTTTTCAAACTTAATTGTGAGTATTTAAGCTAGATTTCTAATGCAAATGACAATCCAGGGGTTAAGTTATATACGATGTTAAGAGTTTGTACACATTGACATGAAAGACATATCTTAGAAAAATGGGCAATAAAGTATGCATAAGCAATTCACAGATGAGAAAATTCACCTAATCTACAACCAAATGAAGAGACTCCAATCATGATGTCACTCAACACCCCTCAGACTACAGAAAATTTAAGCTAGCTATGACACTTAATGCTTGCAGTGACGTGGGGAGAAGCATACTCTCATAAACCGTTGGTTCAGATGGGAATTTCTCCAGCCTTTCTGGAAAGCCTTCTAGTAGCATGTTAAGAGTAAAAACTGCAAATACCATGTTCTAACTTTCCATTCCTGGGAATCTATTTTCCAGTATCAAACTCCTGTGATAAAGGACCTCCAGACGAGATTACTTACTGCTGCATTGTTCAAATGCAAAACGCTGGAAATCATGTGACTGTCCATCTCTAAAAGAATTGTTAACTTTATTACAGAACATCCACATCATGGGATAATACAGCTGCATTAAAAATGTAAATTGGAATTAAATTCACCTGGGTGCATTTGTATGAAGCATGGTTGTGTGAGGAACACAAGATACATAAAGGAATGTGATCCTGTTTTGTAAGATGCTACCACATGAACACATCCACATAAAGCCTTTTAGATGTATAGTGTGAGTGTGTGTTCAAGTGTGTGTGTGTGTTTGTTATTTATGTGAACGTGGAGCAAACTAGGGGAGGTTGTTACTGAGGTGTGGGGGTCGCTGACAGTAGGAAGTAGAAAGAAAAGGGAGGGAGTTAAGTCCCAACCACAGAGATGAGGGAGAAAAGGTTAGTAAAAAACTGTAATAAGCCCAATCGGCATGCATGATATGATCATATTTGTGCACCTACACGAAGTTACATAAACATGTATATGTGTGCTTGAAAAAGTTCACAGTGCACATCTGATCAGCTTGTTCCTCCACCTGAAACCTGTCAATGGTCTGCTGTTACCCTGTGGTTAGATCCAGAGTTTCTTATCTGGCTCCAGAGGCCCCTTCACCCCTCCCCCTCCTATATACTAGTCTCCTCCCCAGTCTTCGGGCTACAGACACATCTCCCCAGGGACCTCAGGTCCCCACCCCTTGCACCATCTCCTGATCCTCTTTGGTTCTTCACACTCGCTTTTGTCGTCTGTCCAAGACATCCTCCCTGACACAGTTTCCTGGATGATTCTTACTTGTTTGTATTTCTTTCTTTATTCTATATATTTAGGGTGTACACCATGATGTTCTTATGAACACATGCGCAATTGATTAATACTGTCTAGACCTTAGCTAAAGCATCCATTTCTTGGGGAGCTTTCCCTTTTCCTTGATCTCCAGATGTGGTAGCCTTCCAGATGTTCATTCCCATGGTCCTCTGTCCTTGCTCAAGTTCTATTATTCTTTTTTTTTAGCCTCCATGAACTTTGTGCAGATTTTCCCAGCTATAGTTTATGGCTAATTTGTTGCATCTGAATTGAATAAAAGCCTACGGCAGGGGCCAGCATGGCACCCGGGATCTCATCACAGTGGGCTAGTAGAACACATCTCCAACCCTTCTAGCCACCCGTGGCTCTGTCAGCTGAAATGAGGCCATTTAGATTCCTGTGGAAGCAGAAGGAAGCAGTCATGCCAGCACATGGCATCTGCGAGGGCTGGGATCCTGTTCAGCACCATCTCAAACTATGCCCCCACTGCACCCTCTGTGCCTTCTGGCCCTCTCTGCTTCTTGGCCACCTAGTCTTTATCCCTTTGCTTCAGCCTTGCAGGAAGGAAGCCGGGCAATGGTGGCCCCATCACTACTGCCCCCATAGAAGGCCACCTGCCCTATGATCGTGTTTGAGGCCTGAGAGGAGGCTAACGTGAGGGTGACTTTAAACTCTAGAATGTGTCTGGACACCTGCTGTGCCACCAGAAAGCTAACCCCACAGGTGTGAAGGGAGTTCACACAGGGGACTGACCTCTAGGGAGCTGCAACCAAGTTTATCGCCATGCATTCATTGCATGCTTCTAATTAAACCCGTTTATGAAGAAAGAGCAACACATTTACAGGAAGAAATAAATTCATTGAGTTCCTTTTCAAGCCACATTGTTAAATTCTTTTAATAATAATAGCTTTATTTCTGCAAGCAGTTACATTTCTGTGTTCATAAAAAGCAGGGAAAGAAGGACAAGATTTTATGACTCCTTTTCCAAGAGACTGGGGAAGCCAAATTTTCATCAAGGTAATTGCCCTCAGTAAGCTTAGAGAAAACACTCCAAATGTCTCAAGACTTGAAACATTTCGAAATGAGAAGGAAATGTGGAAATACATTATGCTACATGGGCCTGTGAGTCCTGGGGAGTGCTAATTCCAAGTGCTTTTTTATTAAATAGCCTGAGCGTCCTATCCCACTTTCGGTCATCCTGTCCTCTGTGCAGAGGGGATTGAGCAGGATAATAACTCCCATTAGCACTGGGGGAGGTTTCACATGTAAATCCCCTAGCAAATGGAAGCACAAATAGAGAGCATCCTGTTTATTAAGTCAGCATAACTTGGGTGTCAGTTTTTTTCCCCTAGAAAATTGCCCATGGTCACTTGCTATCTTTGAAGTCAGTGAGGTGGGCAACGCTCAGTCCGTGGTGTTGGCCGGCTTTTCCTTCTCATCAGGGTTGTCCAGCATCTTCAGCCTCCTCTCCAGCCTCTGCCTCCATTCTTCTCTGAGCCTGCGGAGGGGAAACCGTGCACATACTCAGTGCCTTTGTCTCCACCTATGTTGGTCCACTGAACCATGGCTTTTTCTTCTCAAGGATATTTTAAAAGAAACCTGGTGTGTGTTACTCTCCTCCCTGTGTTCATATGTTCTCATTCTTCAACTCCCACTTATGAGTGAGAACATGCAGTGCTTGTGGTTTTCTGTTCCTGTGTTAAGGGGAGGACAAATATCTAATGCATGCAGGGTTTAAAACCTAGATGATGAGTTGATAGGTGCAGCAAACCACCATGGCACATGTATACCTGTGTAACAAACCTGCAGTCTGTACATGTATCCCAGAACTTAAAGTAAAATAATAATTTTTAAATCCCTATGCTTTTTACAAATGAACAAAGAAAAAAATGAATAGTCACAAAGGCAATGTCTGTGAATAGACGGCTTTATCCCAAATGTAATCCTTCCCAAATTGATAGGTGGACTCCATGTAATGCCAATCAGAATCCCAGGAAGACTTTTCTATACCTATCAACAAGCCAGTTCCAACTTCTATATGGAAAGACAAAAGTAGATTCGCCTTAAGAAGTTTGAAGAACGCTGTTGAAGGACTCACACTACCTGATTTGAGGCTTAATATAATTTTTTTTTTTTTGAGACGGAGTTTCGCTCTTGTTACCCAGGCTGGAGTGCAATGGCGCAATCTCGGCTCACCGCAACCTCCGCCTCCTGGGTTCAGGCAATTCTCCTGCCTCAGCCTCCTGAGTAGCTGGGATTACAGGCACATGCCACCATGCTCAGCTGATATTTTTTTTTATTTTTAGTAGAGACGGGGTTTCACCATGTTGACCAGGATGGTCTCGATCTCTTGACCTTGTGATCCACCCGCCTTGGCCTCCCAATGAGGCTTAATATAATTAAGTTACCATCATCAAGGCAGTGAATAAACAAATAGATTAATAGCACAGAATAGAATAGAAAGTCCAGAAATAAATACACAGTAACGTGGCCAGGCGACTCAGTAGAGGAAGGATAGGCTTTTCATCAAATGGTGCCAGAGCATTATGTATCTATAATCAAACAATAGACTTGAAATCTGCTATGGTCTGAACATGTGTGTTTCCCCTCAGATTCATATAGTGAAATCCTAACTTCCAAGGGGATGGTATTAAACTCTGCTACATTATGGGCCTGGGAAAGAATGGGAAGATTCTGGACTCATGCTCTGAGGTTCTGGGGGTGAGATAATATGCGTGTACTACAGGAAAATCAGAACATTCAGAAAAGAATTAAAACTGTTGAATTTACTTTCATCTTTCATTCTTATAAATAACCATACAAGGGGTATAGTACTTAATACTCTTTCTGTATCCCAGTCTGTTTTCCTCAGAGTGGCTCCCAGAGGTGAAATAATACCACTTAGAAGGTATAAATATTTTGAAGGCTCTAGGCACCTATTACTAGATTGGCTTCAGGAAAACTTCTTACTTACAACTCTGCTTAATTATGGGCCCCGGAAAGAATGGAAAGAATCTGGCGCGCAAGCCTGTTGCTGGGTGGTGCCTGTTGCATAAACACATGAGCAAGCAGGGACTGAAAGTTGAAATATTGTCAGAGGATGAGGCACATGGGCAATAGTGTCAAGACATTGGTTGTAGTCCTCATTCTACCTCAATTTTAAATAGAAACGAATGACGTCAAAGTATAGTTTGTCTGTCTGCGGAGCACGGGGCTGCTGCTGCTCTTCCATGAGGGGGCAGCTTCCTTACATGTGGGGAACTCCGCTCCGCACCACTGGTCAGAGGACGTTGTACTTACAAAGGGATGATTTAATTGAGCTTATATGACCTTCTACTTTGATTTCTACAGATTAGTAATTTTCATAATTATATTTCTGCATCATGGTGATTAAGCATTCATCCTATATTTTAATTTGTAATCCACCTCTCCAACCTGGAGAATACCCAATTTCACAAGCTTTTTTGGTTACACATCTCTGAAAGCCTCTGTAACTAAATCTGCCTTCAAGTACCTGACTTTTGTCACCTAGGATCCTTCAAAGCTCACCAACAAGGGCTGCTGCCTAGTGTTTCATTGAACTTGATGGACTTCTTAACCTAATGTGGATTCATTCATTAACAAAAGGGACTGTAATTGCACTGGGTGTGGTGGCAAAACTGACTGGTGGCTGCAGCTTCTTTCCATTTGTATTTGCCTCAGATCAATGCCAAGGCCACACTTCTTGCAGGCTGCTCTCAGACAGCGACTGTGCATGGCCGTGGTATTAGCGCAGGCCCCTCCCAGCAAGCTGCAGAACTTCTTTAGCAGGTGGCTTTGGTTCACTGACTCCTCGTTACTCTGCCCAAAAGTTACTAGGGCTGCCCTGCTGTCTTTCCAGTCCTACTTCTTTCTTCTTCTCCTTCATGGAGGTCAGACCCACAGCACAATCTGATGACTTTCCTTCATTTCTTTGGCTGTGTGGTGGGCTGAAGCTGGCTCATAACAGTTCATGAGAATCGAGGATTACTTTTCAGGAATTTTTTAAGCTAATTATTAAATGCAGACATTATTAAAAGTAAATTATATAAAGTTCTAATTAAATTGTATTAAAACAGGTATGTAAAATGTATTACTGCATTTTATAACAATCTATGCTCTCCAGGTTACTTAGGTCGATTTCACCTGTGTGGTGAAAGTACTAGATGATGAGGGGTTACTGCCAAACACCTCTTCTGAACCTGCCTTCATTGACATCTCACTGATAGCTTGAAACAGACTGGTGGGAATATTTACACCACAGAAGTTGCAAACAATATAAATCATGCATGACTTGATGTACCATTTTGTTCATTGTCTGAACTAAGGTTTGGCCCTAATGCCAAATCTGGCAGCCACCCATTTTGTAAATAAGGTTTTATTGAAATATAGCCCTGCCCACTTGTTGACATATTTTAATTACATATGGCTATAGCTGTTTTCACACTACAGTGACAAGTTCAAGAGCTGCAACACAGATCACATCACCTAAAAAGCCAAAAATATTTACTGTCTGGTTCTTTTCAGAAAATGTTCCTGACCCTTGGTCTAAACTTAAGAAAATGATGGACAAAATCTTAACATGTATTAAATTTCTAAGTGTGCCATGTCTGTAGCTAATATATTATAAATAGCAAGAACACGTTGAGGAAATATTCTTCCAGTACTAGAAAGCAATTGACTTCTTTGCTGAATTGGATAGTAATCAAGCATTTATTTGTTGTGTAAGTTTTCAAATTATGGTTGAATTTCAACCATCAGTTGGCCCCGACACAAGAGGTTGGCAAAAAATGAATAAAAACACTTTTCACTATTATTCTCTGTGAGAACCAGGTGACTATACGGGATTTATAATAAAGAATATTGTGCGTTTTCTTATTGTTTATAAATTGTGTGCTACACAGCTTTTGTATCAGTGTGCATATATATGCACACATACATTTTTCCTCCGGAGTCAGTGGTTAAACATTCATCGGCATACCACAGCTTCCTTCCAATTTTTCATTCACAGGTGCTTCCTCCAATAAATCTCATGCACATCTAATCCCTTACCCTCTGCTTCTTAGAGGACCTGAATTAACACATTTGGTGTGATGCATTCATTCTAGGAAAAAAAATTTGGGAATCTGGGGTTCGTAACATATTTATTTACTTTTCATAGCAGTTATATGCTATTGCTAATGGTAAAGAATTCAGGTCTCTATCTACCCAAATGTCTTTTAAATCTTGTCTGATGAATATTTAGAAACTGTACTGCTCCTTTTTGGTCAATATCTTTCACTACTGTGTTGCTTCTGTTTATTTTGGGGTTCTCAGTAAACTGGTGAATATAGATTTATATATAAGGGGCTTCCCTTTTGCAGCAGGGAAGGTCCATAGGAGGAAGATAATGCTTAAAACTTGGCTTACAAATTCAGCTACATCAAAAGAGCCATACGACTGGTATTAAAGCTCAGAGAGAATATTTATACCTTCAGACTAAAAATATTGACCTCACTTTTCAAATGGAGACCAAGTCATGTCTACTGTTTCTTGTTCCAGAGTCTTCTAATTTGTGAAGGAGTTGTTAATTTCTAGGAGCACAGATTCTCCTTGATAAGTCTGGGGCTTACCTAGAAAACAGGTATTTGTGAGATATTTGTGAGATCACAGATATTGTGAGATTCTTAAGTCATGATCATAATGTTATTCCTGGGGTACGTGAGGACAACTGGATCCATAATTATATTTTTCCTATCATGTGCTAGGTACTAAACGTATGTGACAGTTTTGGTCCTCCAAGAAGCATATTTGTGGGAAACACCTATGAAAAATAAAGGAGGGAGGAAACTGAAGCAATCAGGAAGAGCCTTATAGACTTCAGCACTGGTCTGACATCTGTGGAGAGAGGGGGAAGTCACGACTGAGTAGGAAGAACCAATCCGATAGCACAGTTCTGAGGAAGCTTGGACTGGGCTGGTGGGGAGTCCCTGAGCAAATGCTGCCTTCAGAGAAGGCTTGTCATGCAGGAATTGCCTAGAACTAGGACCTCTGCCACCCTAAGTTTTGGCTAGGGGCAGCCTGGGGAGGTATGGCTTTGGCTCACCCACAATGGTAGATGCAGAAAGGGAGCCACTGGCATTACCAGTCAGCTATGCTCCCAAAGCAAATGATCCTGGAGGGCCTCCAAGTGGGGCACTTCCGTGGCTACCATGCTATGTGAAGAAGAGCAACCGAATACTCCCTGTCCCCAAGGCATTGAGAGTTGACTGAATTCTTGATCTCCCATTTCAGATCTCAGAACTCCGATCTTGATCTCTGTCCTTTTGCTTAAGTATGAAAAGTGACAGGACGATTTTGCTGTACCTATGCCATTCTCATGGGTAGGAAGCATGCCTTGACAATTGTTTCCTCATAGTGGGGAGAGGTGGGCCTGCGTCTGGTTTCTTTGTGACTTGTAGCTCGCTGGCTGGGTCTCTGGTCAAGGGTCAGAGCTCAGTCCATCCACACAGGCTGGCAAGCTTTGGCATACTGATTTGACCAACTCAATTTACCAGATGCTTCCTTCCTATCCTTTTAGTTTGAATGAAAAATCTAACTAAAAATTTTCTCTCTTCTGTTTATTCTTTGTAGACTAACTCTTGTCTTATAAAAAGTTTGAAATAGCGATTTCATCTGGCTGGGAGATTCTGAGTCAAATATGTGATTGCCTGAAGCTGAAAACATCCTAGTTGATATAATTGATAAGCAGGCTTCAGAGCAGAAGGAGGTGAGTAGTCTTGGGGTGAGGCTTGATGTACCCCCAGATTTAACCTCTACTTGACACTGTTGAGATCTGCTAAATTATGAAGTGGTATTTTGAAGACTACACTTCTTGCATGAAAACACTAGCTGTTCACTGATCAGTTTGTTAATTATAGCTACCGGCTGGGCACTTAGGTGTCCATAAGATTTATGATCTAAACTGAGATACCTTTGAAGGGGTTACAGTCAATGATGATACCAAACTGCCCGGGCAAACCAGGAGGTGTGCTCACTGAGGATGTCCACGCAGCCCTGGACTCTTCTCGAATTACCTCAATCAGTTGCTTGCAAACACTTTCCAACTTCTTTGGGGGACTAACCCATCCATGTTCTGTTGCTTTTCTCTATCCAGACTCAGAGAAAGTAAAGAAGTTTCCAGTTCTGGGGCCACCCACTTTGCCTTGTGATCTCACCGCCAGTCCTCTGCCAGATATAGAACATTGGTTCCTAGGAAAAATGGATTCTCCCCGTCCCTGGATTCCTTCCCAGAGTCACTGAACCCACAGGTGTGTGTTTAACACCCTTCACCCGGCTCTGGTACAGCATCTTCCCAGGTTAGCTCAGCAGAGGGAGAGGAGCATGAGACATTATTGGATTTGTCTCCTGTCAACAAAGGGTTTTGGAGGTTTTTTGACTCTACTGCTCACTCAGACACTTAGAACATTTCTTGATTGTACAGTGGATTGGATTTTTTTTATATAAATGACGGGTAGAATAAAAAAGGTGTGTGTGCCTGCATGTGTACATTGGAGGGTGGGCATTTGCCTATAGTGAAGTTGGGGGAGGCAGGGTCCACAGGGCTGAAATAGGGACCCAGGTATCTATGATATTCATGGGTCTGCAAGTATATGCTGGGAGATTATTATTTTGTTAAGACAGTGTTTCAAACTATTTGCTCAGATCAGTGGGGATTTAAGCAAATGTTATGACATTTTGGTTTTCATTTAAAAATTCTAGGTTTTTTGCGAAACCTGGTTCATGTGGGATAGGTATGAGTTTGCATTTTTTTCAGCAAAAGTAAAAGTAAAACAACTAGGTTTTAATTCATTGTTTACCAAATTAGAAAGGCTTTTGAGAATTTTAATTCACAATTGACAAGCACGCTGGCTCTGGTGGGTGGACTCTAGGCTGAAGGAGAGACCACAGGGAGCTGCCTCGCTTCCCCAGCTCCAGGTGGGATCCTGGTTCTGAGTCCTGCGGCCGCTGTGATCCTGTCTTTAAACACTTAGCTGGGGGAGACTAGCAAAATGTTTCATGATGAGTGCAAAGATTTATTCTTCCAGTCACAGAAGGTAGAGAAATCTGCTCCAAACTTTAGGAAAGGAGGTCATTTCTGGGGCACATGGGAGCCTGGAGAATTAATGCAGTTCGTTCTGTGGACCATTTGCAATTGATTGCCATTTTTATAACTTATTATTATTTTTTACTTACAAAATGGCACAGGACCAAATTTTTGGAAAAGATATGAGAACACACACACACACACACACACAATCTGTCATCCCATTAGTCAAAAATAACCACTTTCAGTATCTTAGTGTATTTTCTTCTAATCCTTTTCTTTTACATACTCTCTCTGTATATATATAGTATGTAACTATATACATATACTATATATATATATGGGCAAAAAACTAGTTTAATACAGACTCCTTGGACTAAGAATCCTTCTCCTGAAAACCTTGATATTATCCCAGATGAGGAGTCTTCTTATTAAACTAGTTTTTCGCACATATACATATGTATATGTATACCTATATACATATAGTATATGTATATGTGTATATATATGTATATGTATATGTGTATATATATATTTTACTATCTTGACAAAAATAAGATCATATTGCAAGCTTTCTGGAAGGGAAGATACAGCACAGGGCTGATGATGGGATCTGGCTTCCAGTGGCCTAGTGGGCCAGGACCAGGGGAAGGAAGATGGTGGGGACCACACAACAGACTCCCTTCACTTCCCTGAGAATCTCCAGGATTGGATGCTCTAACATGAGACTCTTCTAGCATGTAGAAAAGCCTAGTTTTGCGTATTAGGCCACCAGGAGTGTGGCTGGAATGTTGGCAGAGCTCTTCTCTGAGTATGGAAGCAGGCTCCTTTCTGGGGCTTAAGAAAGGACTTTGTTTTAGAAATTAACTTTGAGTTTTACACATGTGAATTACTGATGTTTGCAGCTCAGCATGCGTTAGGCAGACACAGAAACATGGAATCGTGGTGCTCTGCTGTGGAGAACACACAACTGCCATTCCACCTGCAGTGGACATCCTAGCAGACAGACATCCTGGCTAGCCTCTTCCCATTTTAGGGACAGAGAACCAGGACAGGCCCAGAAGAACTGGTCCAAATGACACATCTTCCCACATCGGCAAATCTTCATCTCTCAGTAAACTCCTTGGACTAGGAATCCTTCTCCCGAGAATCTTGATATTATCCCAGATGAGGAGTCTTTTTATTAAACTAGTTTTTCACACATATACATATCTGTCAACTTAACCCTAAAATTTAGTGTAACCACATGTGCTGGAGATTGCAACAGAGAAGAAATGGCGAAGATATTGTTTTAATTCATCAAGACATAAATAATATAATCTCATTTTTTGTATTAAAAAGTCTTGTCCAAATCTACAAGTCATTCATTCTCAATCAGGGTTGACTTTGCCCTCCAGGTGGCCTTGGTTGTCACAAGGTGTGTGGCAATCTCACAGATAGCTAAGCTTTGAGGCTAAGGATGCTGATAAACGTCTTAGCACAGAACAGCTCTCCACAGCAAACAACGTTTGACCCTAAATGTCAATAGTGTTGAGCTAGAAAATCCCTGGTATACTTGCAAGACTGAATGAGTGGATGTACTGGTGATGTTTTCCGCGTTTTATGATGTTTTGACATCTTACAGTTTGCTGGCTATGAAGAGACTGTCCCTGCTAGGAATAGCCCTATCTTAGAGACAGCAAATGCTTGGCCGATCTCCAGACCAACGAGTCTCAAGTCTGTAGCCCTAGCCACCTCTGCGTCTAACTCTCACACACTGAGCCACTATTTCTCCTGCCCTTGATTATCATGGGACCAGGTACCAGGTAACTGGAAACCACTCTTACAGCCCAAAGCCTACCAGAATGACCCAAACTGACCAATCCTGAATTATACACTCTGCCCTGCCTTGCCTTTTTCATAGAAATCCCAATAAAGACTCTGGCTGAGAGGTTCTCACCAGCTCTTCTCCCACCTAACCAAAACCAGGAGCTTCCCCTCTGGCCCTGTGGGACATGTGTGACCCCCTCTCTAAGACCTGTGAGTACAGTGAACTTCTTCCTTCCAAGCCTTGCTCCCATGTCCTCGTGAGAGCTCGCAATTCCTCCTGTGGCTGTACAGCCTTTACGCTTTCATGTCCCGCATATGTACATTCCTTCAACAGTGGACACCAAAGAGCATTCACTAGGTCCATCTTCATATCTGACATCTTTCTAGGAAATCCACTTTAAAAGTAATAATAGAGAAAAAATTCACATACTTTTTCAGGGCGCTTCTTTCCTGACGATCTTCCTCCAGTTCGCGGTAAAAAGTCTGTTTGCTAATTTCTTTTTCCCAGAAGCTTTTGAGCTCATGACAAGTTTCACAGCAGAAGACTTCTCTACGGATGTATTGATTGTTCATCCCCTGAAATATACAAGTAAAGCAAATCCCAGTCCTTCAAATAAAGCCACTCAAGGTTTGGAGTGATAGAAAGATGAGCTTACACGTAGACACTGCTATTTACACTTCTTTTTGGGGGGTGACTGTAGACATATCACACACCTGTACTCTTAGTCTATTTCCTCAACTGCAAATGGGAATAATAATAGTTATGCCAGAAAACATTGTGAAAAATTTTGAATTAGACAAAACCAAAAAGGATATCTGGTAACTCTTCCAGATTACCCGATTCTAAAGCTTGCCCTTTCACTGTCTTTGAGACATTTGACAATTTTGTAAATTATAGAACAATTACAGTAATGAAAATGATTCACGAACATAGAAATCTAAATAAATTTTGTCCACTAAAACGCAATTACTCTATCCACGAATATCAACCAATTTTTCATCTATGTGTTTTTAAATTTTCTTCTGAATCAATTGTAATACGTTACTAGTTTTTTCCTTATTTATAAGTTAAATAAAATATTTGATGCATGTTCATTTTATATTTGTATGTGATTCATTATTTTAGCTTTCTTAAAAAAATGATCCTTTAAGAGTGAACTCACAGTTGTGTGTGTGCGTGTGGAAGGTGTGCATTGCCAACAAAAGTGCTAAGCCTCATGCATGACAGACAGCCAGCGCCCAGTCAACAGCGTGCTCTTTCCATCCTTCCTCACAGAACAGCAATAGCCTCTGCCATCTATCAAGCACCCAGTGTGCACCAGGCATGCTTTACACACCATCCCATCTGATGCTCACTGTAGCTCTGTCTCCACTCACTGTTCCGATGAGCAAACTAGAGTGAGAATCTTCCTGTGGCCACCACTGAAAATACAAGTGCTGGCGTTTGAACCTAGGTGTGTCCACCTTCAAAGCAGATCCTCTTTGCTTGCCAGACGTGCCCACTGCGTTTGGAAATGGGTACGCCTGGAGCAAGCTCGTTCAGCATATGTGTATACATCCTATGAAGGGACACATATTTAACCCAAAAATGTTTGCTTTTTACCTGAACGTGGCCCACTTTCCAGATCTTGTAGTGCCATCAGGCAGATACACACAAATGCCTGCACAGCAGAGCCCTCCCTGCCTGCTGGCAGCTCTTGCTCAGAGAAGTGCTTCAGCCCTGGCCGGAGACTGGAAAGGGACCTGGTCCCTTACTTCCCAGCTACGAAGTTGATATGATCCCACACAAGCTGGGTTTTTCTGGGGCACCCAAAGGATTAGGGGTGACAGAGGAGTTTAGAAAAAGCTTTAGAGAATAACATTTATTATTTATATTTATGATATAAAATAATTTATATTTTATTTATATGTATAGTAGTAAAATATGATGCCTTTATCAGAGAGGCAGCAAGAACTTCCTGCGTGAAGGGAACAGTGTCTGTAAGTGTCCTGAGGTAAGAAGCTTGAAACTGAAAACAGCTTTGGGTATTCGATAAAGATTTTAAGAATCTGCTTCTGGCGCTCTTCCTCCTGGACCCATCTTCCAATCACCTGCTTATTTCTACTGTCAGAGCTGCTCTGGAAAAAGCTGTGCTGAGCATGTGCTGGGTGGCGGTGGCGAGGCAGGTCAGGGTGGGGATGGTGGAAGGAGATTCTAGCAGAGAAGAGGGAGAGAACGTTTTCTTCAGTGCCTGCCAGGCGTTCTGTGGGGGGTTCTCCCTGGTCGCACACAGCTACATGAGGGCCATTATTTTCTTATTTAAAACATTTTTATTTTTTATTAAACATCTAAAAATAATTTTAAAATATATTTTAATTGACAAAAACTGTATATTATTGCATACAACATGAAGTTTTGAAATATGTACACATTGTGGAATAGCTAAATCGAGCTAATTCACATCTCATTTTGCACATGAAGGAGCTGATTTTCAGAGGCACTGATAGACTCCCTCGAGGTTCCACAGCTTGAGAGCGGTGTGGCTGTCAGGACCTGGAGCCTGCACTCTTCCTACCGCTCCCGGCCACTCCTTGGAAAGAGGAAGTTTGACTTACGTGCCCTCTCGCACTTGAGGCGCTCGGTGACCTTACCCTTTCCTGCGACTGATGGACGCTGCGGTATTTGTGTCTTAGAGGGGTAGAGCTTCGTGATCAGAAGCCCAGTCTTAGTTTATTTTCAATGCATTGAAGCATTTAATGGGTGTTCAGTTATTCAAGTTAAATGAAATGACCCCCTTCCAAATTATCTTTTTCATACGAAGAGCTGGCCCCTTTGAAGTATCTCAGACATCGAGGGTCTGAGAGTGGATTGCTTTTGCGCTTTCTGGGTAAGGGAAACACAGTCTTTCTGCAGTCTGCCAAGCTGGAGCAGTGCCGTAGAGCCTCTGGAATTTCTCTCTGAACGCTGGGGCTATCCTCCAGCCTGACGCGTGTACACACTTCTGTCTTTCAAGGGCATATTTCTTGCTTATTTTCTTTCCCGGGCTAATAATTCGGTGCACAGAATTTTAATAAATTTCTAGCCACTGGACATTGAAAGAGAAGCCACTAACAAAATATATCTGATTTTACATTTTCATTCATAGAACTAGGGTGTGGAATGCATGCCCTCCCACAGCAATTAGGCTTCCTGCGGGTTTTGTTCAGGCTCCAGGGATATTTAAGGCATCTCATTTTCCTGATATACGAATTCAAGATAAGAAGATAGTGCTGGCTGCCCCGGCCCTCCTGGCTCGCGTGAGGACGCTCGCGCCCGCCGCCACCGCCGCCATGCGCTGCCTCGGGAACAGTAAGACCGAGGACCAGCGCAGCGAGGAGAAGGCGCAGCGCGAGGCCAACAAAAAGATGGAGAAGCAGCTGCAGAAGGACAAGCAGGTCTACCGGGCCACGCACTGCCTGCTGCTGCTGGGTGCTGGAGAATCTGGTAAAAGCACCATTGTGAAGCAGATGAAGATCCTGCATTTTAATGGATTTAATGGAGAGGGCGGCGAAGAGGACCAGCAGGCTGCAAGGAGCAACATCTTTGGAATGTATTATCCCTAGATGATGGCTACAGTTTCTCATCTTCCCGGCTATGTCCTATCACAATTTGCATGCTGGAATTTGCACGATTTGCATGCTCGGTCTTAGAAACTTCTAATAAGAATACTGTTCTGTTGTGCCGGGGGGGTGGGGAGGGAACGGGGAGGGGCCCCTACTACCTGACCTTGAACGATGATTGAAAAAACAAAAAAATGGGCTGGGCAAGGTGGCTCACGCCTGTAATCCCAGCACTTTGGGAGGCCGAGGCGGGTGGATCACGAGGTCAAGAGATCGAGACCATCCTGGTCAACATGGTAAAACCCCGTCTCTACTAAAAATACAAAAAATTAGCTGGGCATGGTGGCGCGTGCCTGTAATCCCAGCTACTCGGGAGGCTGAGGCAGGAGAATTGCCTGAACCCAGAAGGTGGAGGTTGAGGTGAGCCGAGATCGCGCCATTGCACTCCAGCCTGGGTAACAAGAGTGAAAATCCGTCTCGAAAAAAGAAAAGAAAAGAAAATGACTGACAATCTACTGTACCAAAAGTTGGCATTTGAGCAAAATATGACAAGTCCTTCCTTAGTGAGCAACCTGCTGTGTACTAGATGGTGTGCTAAACCCTTGAACCTACTCATACCTCGCCTGCACATCTCTCTGTGACTGTTCTGCAAGTATATATAAGTATTAATATTCATGATAAATAAAAATTCTCTGCATGTTTCAGCAAAAAAAAAAATAGTGCTTGCTTTTAACTGGGAGGAAGGTGTTAAATGCAGAATTTGCAGTTTAAGTATGCAAAAGGTTATGCCTTTTATGTGCATGATAGTTTCACAGATTTTTAAACTTACAGAATACCCTTGAAGATTACAAGTTGATATTAGGTACCCGATATTTAGAAAAAGGATAGCTTGGTCAAACAGGTACTCACTGAAATGTTCTTCTTTTCTCAAAATTAATAATGAACATTGTTTTCTAAAGAGCTTCATTATGAAGACAAGGAACACAGGCTGCTCACATCCGCATGGCATTTCGCATCCTCTCTGTCTGGGAGGAAGGTGTGGTTTGGGAAATGGAGAGAGGATTTATTCTAGCATATTCTGTAGTTGCAGAGTCACGAGCTGGGTTACGGAAAATTGATGAAAGCAGGGTGGTGTCCACACACCCAAGGAGTAAATTAAAATCAGGGTGAACTCAGAGGAAATCAGGCTACGAAGAATCTGTTGTATTCGAGGTCTGCTTCCAATTCCTGTTTGATCAAAAAGCACTTCTGGGATCTCCATTTTCGCTGAGTAGCTTGAGAATAGCGAGCATGAGTTTTGGAAGAACTTAAGGAGGAGACAGGAACTCAGACGTCTTCAGGGATCAGTAGGCACCCTAAAGGAGTGAAGCGACTGGGAGCAGTGGCACTAGGTCTTGAAGGGCATGTGTTCTGCTTCAAGACATGCTTTCCAAAAAAGGCCCAACACCACACTGGCCAAACAAAACATGGCATTTGGCTGGATGCAGTCTGAGGGTTACCCACCTGCCCCTCTTAGGGGATGCATTCTCTGTTTACAGATAGAGCCTATGTCTTTCTCCATTAGCTTTCCTCGAAACCTCCTCCCTGTACTCTCCCTACAGGGCACCCTGAACTATGTTGATTTCTCTATGCCTTTCTCCTTCTTGCTGTCTCATGGGGCAGCCCCCATCCCGCTTCTGCACCCAAGCAGGCAGATACCACTCTGGCTGGCCAGGCTTGCTACTGCTGTCATTCCAGCAGCAACTGGGATTGGAGTTCTTCACCAAGCTGCAGCCCCCCCACTAGGGGTCATATAGACACAGCTGTCCTGCCTGCAAAACACAGCTGCATCCCAACAACCAGGATGGAGATAAAGCTCAGTAGAGGACTTGTCACTGTTGTGACTTTGGGAAGGCAAGCCCTTCACTCACTCTGAGCCCCTTTCCTTAGCCTTGAAGTGGAGATGAAGTGTGGTGATGTGCAGAAAAGTGCCCCCAACACAGCCCACTATTCATTCCTCAGTGTCTCTCCCCACATGCCACATACTTGTCCAGGGAACTCACGGTCCATCTCTCATCCCTGGCAGGCCTCAAAAGTGCTAACTGAATTTGAACCACCACCTAAATACAGTCTCCTTGTGTTTAATTTATACATGATACCAAATGTTTTGCTTCTTACTGACTCAGCCCATCTTGAAGGCTTATTTATCTCTGTTACTGGGCTGTAAGAATTAGAAAGCCTTAGATCATGGGGATAAGAGGTTTCCCATCTTGTCCCAGGTCCAGTGTTGGACCACGTCCAGAGAAGCCTTCAGCAAAGCTCTTGGTGATGAGTTTCACCCTTATATCACTTAGGATGTTATATCTGTGGGCTCTCTGTGGTCAGGCCCTATAATCACATTTACTGAGTGATGCTGAACATGTTTAAGGAGAAACTGTCTTACTAAAGTCGACAGTTGCCACTGTGCCGACTCTTGGGCTCAATCTCTCCATGTGATTTCACAGCCTCACTGCTTGTTTTGCTGAAAACTGCCGGGGAACCTGAACTTCAGCAGGTAGGATTATGACAACGTGTAAGAACTTCCATAAGAGAAAGTGCATTTTGTTTGAGATGAGCCATGACATCTTCTTCCTTCCATTTTTAAAAACTTGTTTTACATTTATTGCTCCCATTTACTGGGCTCACCATTGCTGGTATTGCCCACTTTGAGCAGAATGGATAGCAATTTTAGAAAAGCATTTTTAGGAAAGCATCAAAATAAGGCAGGAAACAGGAAATAAAAGAGGTCTGCCTTTCCCTGGGTTATTGATGGGAAACCTAGGCACTGACAGTTGCTCTCTCTGCCTCTGCACCTGGCCCAGGCAGAGAAAATCATTAGCTATATGTCATATGCATATGGTGCTGCCCCTGTTGGAGCTCAAACGAGAGTGGAAAAGCATTACTTTCTCAAGTTGTTCTCTCTGTGTGGTGGGGAAGAAGGGAAAGCTGCTGTGATCCCCTGTGGGATGGATTGGTAGTGTTTTTATTGTAACAGAAATATGAAATACTAAGCAATGTGCAGACACGTAAAACCATTAGCTATCTGAACCTTCCCGAGCTACTTTTAAAGTTCTATAAGATTAAGCTCCTATGTTTTACATGAGCAACTTTTCAAATTCAGGTGTCTCCATTCTGTTCTTGTGTAACTGATTTTTGTTTTATAAACCCAATTTCAGAGGTGCACACTCATGTGCCTTTTAAATTTCCACTTGCTACTTTCATCCCTGCGTATGCACATGGAAGAGAAGAGCTTTTCAGAGGAGCAAGGAGCCTGTATGTGCTCTTGATTTTTTTTTTTTTTCCCCCAGAGTCTCACTCTGTTGCCAGGCTGGAGTGCAGTGATGCAATCTCAGCTCGCTGCAACCTCAGTCTCCTGGGTTGAAGAGATTCTCCTGCCTCAGCCTCCCAAGTAGCGGGCACTACACATGCACGCCACCATGCCCAGCTAATTTTTGTATTTTTAGTAGAGACAGGATTTCACCATGTTGGCCAGGATGGTCTTGATCTCTTGACCTTGTGATCCACCTGCCTTAGCTTCCCAAAGTGCTGGGATTACAGGGGTGAGCCACTGCGCCTGACCTTGATGTCTTTTAAATTCCCTCTACACCCGAGATTCTCTCAGAATATAAGATCATTTATTTTTCTCATAACCTAGATAACTGTGTTGTCTTCCATCCCCAGGGGCTCCAAAAGCAGTAACAGCAAATTTAAATAGCTATAGTGTCCAGAAGGCCACATACTTGTGTTATTCTGGTTATTTTTATAACAAACACTTAGGAATATTGTCTGCTTCTCCCTCCCACCTCTAAAAATTAGGTTTATTGCATTCATCTTTTTGTTTCCCTGGTTTTTATAAACTCATGGGTAGAGGGCAATAGTTCTCCTTTTTAAAGTATAGACAGTGGTGGGAAATCCATTGGTTTTGGCAACTGAAACTCAGCCCTGCAACCAGGCGGGTGTGGAAGTGAGTTCAGAAATGCAGCGGGTCTGCCCCCGCTAAGTGGTCAGACAAAACCTGCCACCCTATTTTTGCCTAATGGCTGGTGGGCTGCAGGTCTGTGTTCTCTGGCTTATTTTTATGCTCTTTATTGAGTGCTTACTGAATACCTTTTATTCTTCAAAGCGCTCTACATCTCACCTTCAATTCTCACTACAACCCTCTTCTTATCCTCATTTTACAGAGGAAGTACAAAGAGGCAAGCCACTACTTGAGATCGCCTTGTTGATGGTGATGGAGCTGGGATTTAAACCACACCCAACTCCAAAGCCCATGTCATCACCAGCACACCACCCAGCCGCTGGACAGAGAGATGGCAGCTCATGACAAGAGCAGGGAGCAGAGAAAGCAGGCATCCAGTTAAATCTGCTGAGAGCAATATGCAAGTCATCCATTCTTTCTCAAAGCAGAACTAGATTAACTTTCTCCCAAGATGATCTCCTGTGCATCACATCAAGGCACACATCTCAGCGCTTTCTGTCAAAGTGCTCACTGTGGCCAGTCTCATGCCGGGCATGGTAAGGATAGACAAACAAACAAAAACTAGACTCCTCCTGACACCAGCACCAAACTTGTTTGTTTATTTAGCCCCCTCACCTGGAGATTCTGCTTCCACAGGTACAGGGGACTCACCCTCATTCCATTTCTACTCAGGTGGTCTTTTTCACCCACGGTGAAAATACCTTTAGGTCCAAAGTTACTAGGACTGGGAGTAAGATGGCTCCACCTGGCTGTGGCCCGAAGACATTTGGATGGGCTTCTCCTTCCACCCACCTTCAGGCCCCACTGGACGGAGAGCAGATGGAGTTTCCTCCTGTCCTCTCTCACCTTCTCAGATGGAAGCCGGAGTGCAATGTGGGAGCGTTCTCCTTAGTTTAGCACCTTTTCAGAAAGCATCGTCTTTTTAACTTTCCCTCCAAAATTCTGTTCGGCCATTTGAAATTCAGTCTTGAGTCCCTCTGCACCATCTACTTATAACTAATATCCCTCAAAGCCACCTCAGATTTTGCTGGCAGTTTATTTGGGTCTTATGAGGAGGCTCAGGAAAAAGAAAAGATCGCCTGGGCAATACCAGTGAGTTCTTGGGTAGCTGGGAGCTT